TAATATGCAGGGCCCGGATTTTGATGACCTGAAAATATTCAAAAAATGACCTAAAGGAGAAAAGAAAGAACACTTCGCTTCCATGTTATTCACATTTCAGAAAAGTATGAAGAAAAATTCCCTAAAATGGCCAAAAATGACTAGAAATACCCTTAAAAGTCCAAAAAAATGCCCCCAAAATGAAAAAATTACCTTAAACATAAAAATGTCAAAAAATTACAAAAAAAAATACCTGTAAAATTTACATTTCTGTAACCAGAAGCTCATATCCGAGATTTATATATTTAAGAGCATCGCCAGGATACAAGGAAAAAAAGATGACATGTCATCAAAATCCGAAGAAGCATAAGCCATGGTTCGATGAAGTCTGCTCAAAATTATTAGATTAAAGAAAGCAGACCTAATTGCAGTGGTTACTGGATCCACGTGAGTTAAATGGGGATAATCTGAACAATAGAAGACCTGAAACCAACAAGCATTTCAGGAACAAAAAGAAGGAATATCTGAAAGACAAAATTGATGAGCTTGCGATGAACAGTAAGAACAAGAACATTAGAGACCTGTATAGAGGAATAAATGACTTTAAGAGGGGTTACCAGCCTAGCAGTAACTTAGTGAAGGATGAGAATGGTGATCTGCTTGAACATTCCCACAACATTTTGAATAGGTGGAGGAACTACTTCTCTCAGTTATTGAATGTACATAGGGTCAGTGATGTTAGGCAGACAGAAATAGATACAGCTGAGCCGTTAATACCTGATCCTAGCCCTTTTGAGGTTGCAAGTGCTATTGCAAAATTGGAACGGTATAAATCGCCAGGTAGTGATCAAATTCCGACAGAACTTATTCAATTAGGAGGCGAAATATTACATTCTAAGATCCACAAGCTGACTACTTCTATTTGGCATAAGGAAAAATTGCCTGATCAGTGGAAGGAGTCTATTATTGTACCAGTTCACAAGATGGGTGATAAAACTGACTGTAGTAATTATCGAGGGATATCACTGCTATCAACTTCATACAAAATTTTAACCAATATTCTTCTCTCAAGGTTAAGTCCATATATAGATGGAAGTAAGTAAACGTTTATTAACGTCTATGCCATTTTTCTTACTCAATCACTAATTCCACTTTTGAATTTGCTTATTTTTTAGTTTTTGTTTCTTTGAAGTACAATACCTGTTGCTTGTAGCGTTACCATTTTAGAACTCAGAGTTACAACTTGGTTACTAATGCTTATAAGTACAGACAATAAATTTTCAACTGATACATGTTTTGCTTCTAAATTGTTCAAGAGCCGGTGTGTGACTGACTTCTTTCCAAACCGTGAGGTCTTCGGTCCATCAGCTTCTGGGCTGATTCTAGTGACTGGACATTTTTTAAATTAGGGAGTTCACTTCATTTCCCTAATTTCCAATCAACCCACTGTGACATTGGATTTACGCCTTTAAAGACGCCTCTCTAAGAATTACGAGTTGCAGAAACTGTCAAGCTTCGAATTCTCAAAGATTGCCGCAGTTACACTTTCGAGCTAAAATTCTAAGAAAAATCCACAGGGTTTCTTCCTGTTCTATTTCAAGTTTGAGAATAAGCTAATTCTTACATGCAAGAATGGGCCTATGTCTCACTGACTTGTCCATAACATTCAAATGTGAAACAATTAAATTTCCAATTATTGAACTTAATTAAATTTAAATGGGTGTATGGCAGTGGTGCGGTTACAGTATGTTCAGCCTGAATAATCTACTAAGTAATGAATCTTTAAAAAGAACTTCTCCGTTCACTTCGGTTTTTCTAGATCTTACACATTCGGTAGAACTCCTTGGGCGGGTGATCAGCTCGTCGCAAGGCCTCTACCTGTACACAAACACAGAAAAACGCACACACACAAACTAAACATCCATGCCCTGAGTGGGATTCGAACCCACGATCGCCGTTTCCAAGCGAGCGAAGGTAGTTTGAAATTATATGTCTTCTATAAATGATACCATTTTTAGTTTTTTAAATTACCAAGTAATTCATTTTCCACGAACCTTGTGAGTAGTGGCGCGTCTTAGCGAACCACTGATCTTGGCGTGGCTGTGTGAAAAAAGCTACATTTAATTCAATGGTTACTTAAGGCACGCCATAAACACTCGTTGAAAGAATGCCTTAAACGGCGTTTTATATTTTAACTTTCAGTTTAAAGGAACAACTATTTATGTGTGCATAGACTCAATAAATTTTTCGTAAAAATAGCCTGAACATTTCTGTCTTTCTGTCTTTCACTTCCTTTGAATTTCACAGGATATAAACCTTTCCATATTCTCGTTTTGCAACATTTTTATAGAGGCATCATTTTTAAATTTGATTTGTTTCATTCTGGTCCGTCACACTAATAATATTATAAAAGGTCAGTCACACTGGACGGAACTGCTTAATTTTTTATGGCATAGATTTAATTACGCAGTAGCAAAACCTGTTACTTTTGCTCGCGCATCTCCCTCTTTCTCGCTCCCACATTAATACCAAAACAAATTAAGCATACGAAACTCACTGTCTCTATTCCCATTTAGTATGATGGCATGTACACCCGTTGCTGGTCAATGACCACCAAAGAAACAACTAGAAAAAACAACTTTTAGGCAACGGCCCTTAAATAACGACAACTAAACACCAACAGAGAAAGTGTGTTCTCTGTGCGGTCCGTGCCGAAATGTAGGCGGGACAGCTAGTGAGGATTTGGTCAGAGAGTTGGTTGGTAAATCAGTGAGTTTGAGAAGTTGGTAGCTGAAGCACGGGGATAGTTCGACACCCCAGAGGAAGGGGAACGTCCGCCGTTGAAGCCGTTACCAGAAAACTGGTGAAGATACAGCAGGCTGAGAAGACTTAAGTGTGTGCTCTAGAGAACTGTGAAGTGTGTGAATTAGTCAAACGGTTATAATTACTTACAGTCACAGGTGTGTAAAAGTTCAATAAATCCAATTACAAATCCAAACCCTGTCTATAATCACTCACACACGTGACAGCATCCCTTTTTGCCATTGCAATTTCCATTATATTCATACATGCTTCAACTAAGTCGGTATGCAAACTAAGCTACGGGTTGAAGACCTATGAATCGGGGTTTAATTCCCGGGAGTTGCCGGAGGCTTCTCCCTTCGCGACAGTGTTCAGACCCGCTCTGCGGCCCACTCAGCTTCTTATCCTCTGGGCAGGGCTTTAGCGCCGGAGGCAAAGTGGCCGGTGCATGAAGCTAACCGCCTCCGTTTGTTACCGAGTTTAAGAATACATGGAGCTATACTTCCCCATACATAATCATGGCATGACGTTTAATTAAGTACATCTATCTATCTATCTATCTATCTATCTATCTATCTATCTATCTATCTATCTATCTATCTATCTATCTTTATCTATATCTATATCTATCTATCTACAGCTATATCTATATTTATCTACATCTATCTACATTTATCTACATATCTGTATCTATCTACATCTACATCTATCTTCATCTACATCTACATACCTGCATCTACATCTACACATATCTATATACATATCTACATCTACATATCTACATCTATCTACACCTACATATACATCTATCTACATCCGCATCTACATCTATCTACACCTACATCTACATCTATCTACATCCGCATCTACATCTACATCTATCTATCTATCAGGGACTGAACAAATATGAAGCACAAGAAATCCTGAGGATACTTAACTGGACTCAGACAAGCAAAGGGACTCAGACACAAAGACCCTCTGCTAAAGGAGCGAAGGAACTGTTGAAGTTAAGCAGGAACCAGCTACGATGGGTGGTGGGACTTCTTACCGGACACTGTCACCTTAAAAAGACACCTCTTCAAACTGGGATTAAGTGATAGTCCCACTTGTGAGAGATGTCAAGAAGAAAATTAAACAGCCACACATATCCTGTGTGAATGTGAGGCCTTAGATTATTTAAGATCACGTCACTTGGGTCAATACTTTATGGAACCAAATGACTATTTCCACTCTCCCACATACAAAATCCTGCGCTTCATTCAAAGTGCAGGATTGCTGAGGATAATCAAAAGGGGAAGCACAATAGATCACTGTAGGTGCGGTGCACCGGCCGAGAAGGCCCACCCCTTTTACATACATTCACTCATCTATCTGCCTGCCTACCTACCTACCTACCTACCTACCTATCCATCTATATTGCTGTTACTCCCACTAGGAGCGTAGAACATCCGCGAAACACATCGTTTCACATCAGTTTCTTAATCTCAGAGAGTCGGCAGGTTTTCTTGGACGAGGGATCAGCCCCTTGTAAGGCTGCTACCTACACAGGGAAGCACAAAGAATAAACGCAGGTAATTATCCATGTCTTGAGTGGAATTCGATCCCATGACCTCAGTGTTCGAGCGCGCGGCCACTGTGATCGGCTAAATTGTACCTTCCTTTTCTCATCCGTGACTCCAGATATCAGTTTATCATCATTTATTCTACAGATATCATTTCCCACTAAGACGTTATTTAAACATTTTTGGGAGTTTATGTGTATGAATATATTATAAAATAACTATATTTATATATACACACATACTTATCACCAGACTGACAACCTGTGTGTGTGTGTGTGTGTGTGAGTGAGTGTGAATTCGTGCAAAAATAACAGTTGTAGCGGAACAGAAAATTTCAGTACCGTCAGATGACACGATTCTGAACCATTTCCATCCAAATTCCATCCTTACAACATACCTCTCCAAGGTTCATTGTAAAGTTATTCCCAAGAGTGTTTGCTTTTGAATTGATTTCAATGCAGAAGTTCTGTATGCATATCTTATTTCTTTCTGAATACACATCTACACCGCTATTACCTGAGAAGTCCTCGGAAATCGTTCTGCCGTCCAGGCAGAAGGTTCTGGCTCTCTGGCGATCGCACTGTGAGCATTGAATCTCCTCGGATGGATTCTGCATTTCCGAATAAATTGTTCTTGTGTGGATTGGCCGGTCGACAGGTGGAGGAAGAGGGCCTGCTGGAGGTGCAGGTGGCGCGTCAGCGAGAGATGCGCCGTCAGCAGCAGGTGAGCAACAGGGCCGATGCTGTGCCAACTCACGAGGACGAAAACAAGGCCGTATCCAAGGAGGAGGAGGCCAACAATACCCCGAGAAGACATGGTACTGGACCGAAGCGAGGCGCGCGTCCCGGTGGCGAACAGCACAAAAAGGACAGACGAAGAAGGGCTGGAAGGAGAAGGTAACTGGCTAAATTCCNGAGAGAGGGGGGGGGGGGGGGGGGAGAGAACTGAGCACTCACATCCGTCGAGTGCCAAGTTGTAAATTTATACTGAGACTGATAATCACACATAAGAGCACTGATGTACAGTCACGTGTTAACCAAGCATGATACCGTTTGTATTCTTAGAATTTTGCTCAAGTACTGTGTTCCTGGATGTACTGTATTCGGCTGAGGCTGAAACTGAATATTTTGTCGTCTGCCGCACACATGAAGATTTGACAACAGTGTTACATTCTTCTACCCACCATGAGATTTATTACGCCACACGCGGTCGGGCCACGAATAGTCAACTCTCATTGGGAATTCGTGCGGTTTTATATCCGTCTCCCCCACCGGACTTGAAGAAGTGATAATCTAGCACAGGGACAATGAGTCTCATTAAGTTTACTTTGAATAACTCCTCCATATGTTGTACGTGGCAGGGAGGTATAACGCTCTATACATGTATTCTTCAGGCGAAATACAAGTTAATCAAGAAACTAACAGAATCATACAGCTTATCTGGTTTCCTGCTTCTGATTTCTTGCTAGAGTTAGTTTTGAACTTTGAAGATGGAAGTGATATGTTCCCCCGAAAGATCGGGCTCTCTCCGAACTACATGGCTTCAGAACTCAGAAAATCGTACTGTTATTATCTCAATAGAATGCTTCTCCTTTTATTTTTTAATTCACTTACTGGGGGGTGGAGTCCAACAGGGTCCACTCGGCACGGCGGCCACTGATTGGCCTATTGTAGCCTGCCTCGGGTGATTATGATGATGGAGAATTTGGTGGAATGAAGATTGGCAGGGGAAACCGAAGTACTCTGAGAAAACCCGCCCCAGCGCCACTTTGTCCACCACAAATTCCACTTGACCAGACCCCGGCATCGAATTCGGGCCGACGCATTGGGAAGCCAGCGACTAACCGCTTGAGTTATGGCGCGGCCTAAATTCTTCTCCTTACTGAGGTTATGTGGTATTTTCATGAAAATGTAATATTCTCTTAAATTCTTTTTTCCGTGTTCAAGCCTTGCACGTACACGTAGGCGTCACTTAGTTCAGAGATTTGATTTAATAAAAAAAGATCAATTTAATAGTTTAGATACGTGTTTCGTTTTGATCAGCAGCAGCCAAACTTTCCCAGCCTTTCCCTACATTTTACATTTCATAGGAGTTAACCAAAATGCAATCAGAACAGAACAAAAGGGTATTTGCTTGAAACACATGCCACTAAGAGCAGATTGCCACGGGCTTAACCATTACATTGCTGGAACCCGATATCTCGTTCCGGATTATAAATGGTTTAATAATTCTCATTTATTCTAATCTTCTTGTTTCACTTCGTAATGGCCTCAGGACAGCTATTGGCCATTGTAACTAATTCCGGGAAACATCACACAATAAAAGCGTCGCGTTTTACGATGTCCTGCCCACTTGTACTCTCACCTAATAGAGCTGTTATTTGCCGAAATTGGATGTTAGCCTAAGGCACTTAAACGAACCGCTTTACAAACAGCACACTGATGTTTACAATGCTTTGTGTGCTGTGCTTCAGAGGAAAGTCTGTATCAAATAAAAAATTTTACAAGCAGAAAGAAATCCATCGAAATAACGCAAATGAGCGATAAAATAAAATGAAACCTGTCTAAAAAGTACCAAACTACAGGTGTTTGTACCAAATGGGGAGAAAGTGTTTCCTTTTGAAACATAACATCAAAGGTTTTTCCTGTCAACATATCAGTATTTTATACATATACATAAAAATATTTCCAAATAAAAGAAAATTTGGCACGTGTATAAAAGACTAGGATTCGAGATACCACAATCAGTTTAGGTCTAGCGACTAAGCTGCAGTCTGGACTATCAGGGTTCAATTTCCGGAATAGGCAGCGACTATTACCTTCATCGCAGGGTCTAAATCAGCTCTGAAGTCCAGCACACTTCCTATCCAATGCGACTTAATCTCTTGGAGTAAAGCGATAGGAAATTGAAGCTGACCTATTACCCGTATTTTGTGCCTAGGTTAAGAATTCATGGAGCTAAGTCTTCGTAACATGATACCTGTAAACACAGGGATAGCTTTCAACGAAATGTCTCTTGTCTTGAGACACGTCACAGAAAGAAGGGAAGGGTTACAGAACGATGGATGAGCCACGGGGGTGTACAAGGAAATTAGATTCTCTCCGTATGCGCTGTCGCTTGGCGGTCTCCTCCGGTAGAGCGCCTACGAAGTCGCAAATATTAAATAACTCAAGAATCGAATCATCTCGTAATATAAATGGCTGGGCGGACGCCAGAACTACACTTAATACACGTATAGTTTGGAAGAGAAATATATTCGAAGTGCCTATGCCGAAACTAGCCCCAGCAGTCATTTTACTGCTCACAAGAACTTATTCTTATTCTTATTTTAATATTTTACAGAATATGCTCTGGAATAATATCGGAACAAATAATATTGACTCGAAACGACGCACGGATATCTATGCTAGTTACATAGTGGTTACATAGCCGTTACTGACAGTGAATGATTGAGGTAAGAAAATCTGCAGTGTGTTCAGGTTCTGTTAGGACTGGGTTCACTAAAGATACAAGACGTGAATTATTTTCAAAATTTCACTCTTTATTCAAAATAGTCTCCGTCTGAATCAATACATAGCTGGAATCGATTGAAAAGTTTTCGAAAACAGTCACTGTACTCCTTCTGCGGAATTGCATTCAAAACTGCGGTAGTTTCCCTTTGGATGTCCTGGATGGTGTCGTGACGGTCTCCTTTCATCGCCAGCTTAACTTTTGGGAACAACCAGAAATCTGCTGGAGCCAAATCCTGTAATCCCTTTTATGGCCAAAAAACCATGCACGATCTTCGACTTGTGGGGTGGGGCATTGTCGTGGAGGAGCGACCAGGAACCTTGATGTCAATATTCAGGTCAAATTCGAAGAATTCTCGCTCACAAACGATTGAGGACTCCGAGATAATAATCAGAATTCACTCTTTGACGTTCTGGCAGAAATTCCTTGTGAATGATTCCTTTGGAATCGAAGAAAACAGTTAGCAGTGTCCTTACTCGACTCTTTTGCCTGCGCACTTTCTTCCGTTTCGGCTTCTTTGGGCTCAACCACGCTGCACTCTGCCGCTTTGTGAGAGGCTCACATTGAAAACACCATGTCTCGTCACCAGTAACAAACGATTTTGTAAATTTTGTATCACTTTGGGCCGACCGTAACATGTCTTTGCAGTGTTCCATTCTGGCATGTTTTTCATTGCCCGACAACGCGTGCGGTACAAAAAAACGCACATAACTTCTGTTTGCACAAATCCTCGGTCAAAATTTGATGCACAGTACTTTCTGGTATTCCCAAAAGCTCCTCGACGAGTCTTGCAGAAACACATCTGTCTGATGCAAGGATTTCGGTCACTTTTTTCACATTTTTTTCAGTACGACTTGTTCTCGATTTTGATGCACGTGGAGCCTTCAGTGTCCTCCCTGCCGCCACGAAGTACAGCATACCATCGAAAAATGTTTTGCGAGAAGCATGTGGTGATGCTGCTTTGCCATTTCGCACAGTGGCACGATGGGTGAAATTGTTCCGTGAAGGGAGGGATGCCATTCAGGACAGCCGTCGTTCAGGACGACCCCATGTTGACAACCACACAATTCAGCTTCTTGCTTCTTTGCTGGATGTCGATCGTCAGTGGGCTGCGCGGGAGTTAGCTGCTGAGGTAGGCGTATATCACAAAACCGTGCTCCACATTCTGCACGATATTCTTGGATACCGCAAAATTGCAAGAGCGTTGGGTGCTCCATACAATGTCCGAGATGCAACAATGGCAAGGTTATTTAACTGAACAGGACTTGTTGGACCGGTACCAGAGGGAACGAATGAATGAATGTATAAGGTGTGGGCCTTCTCGGCCCTTGCACCGCGACCTACAGTGGTTTATTGTGCTCTACCAGAAGGAAGGTGACGACTTCCTTGGAAGGATCGTCACTTTGGACGAAACTTGGGCTCGCTCATACGAACCGCACTTGAAGCGACAATCAAATGAATGGAAGCATTCTCGCTCTCCTCGTCCAAAGAAAGTGCGCCCTACACAGAGAAATGTGAAGGCGATGTTCAATGTGGCATATGACACTGATGGAGTGATACTGTACCAAACTCTACCTCCACGACAGACAGTAAACGCTGCCTACTACTGCAATTTCCTGCGTAATCATCTTCTTAGCACTCAGGAGAAAGCGACGACACTTGTTGGCAACGAACCCCATCATCCTTCATGACAATGCAAGGGCTAATACTGCTGACGCTGTCAAGAGTCTCCTTCGCCACTGGGGATGGGAGATACTGCAACGTCCGTCATACTCACCCGATATGAGTCCGTGCGATTATGATATCTTTACCAAAATGAAAGAACCGCTGCGAGGAACACGTTACAACACAAGAGAGGAGATTATTCGTGCTGTAGGGCGGTCACTGCTGGACATCAACAGAAGTGGACGCGCTGATTGTGTACGGCGCTTTCAACAAATTTGGCGGAAGGTGGTACACATGGGGGGGGGGGCGATTATATTCAAGGAATGTAAGTGTGTTCACCTCAGGCAGTAAAGTCATTTCAGAACTATAGAGGCGTTGCAGCTACTTTTTATCCGACCTATGTATTTTATTACATTCACAGCTGTGTTAGCAGCATCTGTTTCCTGTTCTGGTGCATGTAATTACTACTGTTGGTCATAAATAATAATGATATAAATTTTCGTTTTCAGGTCTCACAAACGTAAAATGGCAGAAAACTCAAGAGGCAGATCAGAAGGTGGTAAGAGTGAGAAAGAAAGAAATGGAACAGTTTCTCACGGTGATATACACAACAGCACACAGAAACTTTCGACAATATCTGAAGATTCTCATAAACCTACTCTGAATGGAAGTGAACCAGTACATGCAGTGCCCACAGACATTACCGAAATCACCCCTAGACCGAAAGTTTTGGTTACTGAAGCACAATCGTCAACTTCAACCGAAGTGCCAAGTGGTCAGAATGACCGATCTGTTAAGACACATAAACGCCGACGAGTGGCAAGAGCCGCCACTGCTCGAGAGGAGCGAGTGTGGGACTACGGTGTAATACCGTACGAGATTGACGGCAACTTCAGCGGCGCGCACAAAGCACTGTTCAAACAGGCCATGCGACACTGGGAGAATTTTACATGTGTCAAGTTTGTGGAGAGAGTAACCACAGAACACCCTAACTATATTCTGTTTACAGAGAGGCCTTGTGGGTACGTATCAGCTTAGTAAGAATCATACACGGTTTGACCCCCATACGTCTATATGGCGTAGTGCTTAATTCATTAAGCACAGGAACAACTTTACCTTACACGCTTTGACACTTAGTCAATAATTATCGTGGATCACCTCATTCAGCAGTCTGTCTGGCTTATGGCATTTCCAAGAGCGAAATTATAGTCGTCATTTTCTCTGTCTTACCAATGGGGTCAGTGGTTTATGTTGAAATTAATTTCTGAAGTGTAAACCGAAATTCTGGCTATAATGGTCAGCATTCCGCATTATAGAGGTTCCTACTCGAATCTTGACTCTGCGACAGGCTGTATTTAGATATTTCGTGGTTTTCTTAGGTTCACTTATGTTTGATGTTAGGATATCGCCTTAAAACACATCGCTGTCGTATCCTTCCATATCCTTTCCAATTCATCGTTCACAGCCATATTACTCGATTCGATTCTATATGTCTATAACAATTCAGCTGAAGAGTCACTGGCTGGTCAGACCAAACGGACTAGGTTTCGAAGCCCGGCAGGGATAAGTTCTTCATCACCACGTCCATACGGGCTCTTGTGCTGCATCCATTTCATATGCGGTGGATACTGCGTCGCCTTTCACCGGGGTAAATTGGCCGGAGCATGAATCCGATCACTCACCTCCATCGAAGTATGTGGCGAAACAAACTTCACTTCCAAAGCCCATCCATACATTCGAAATATTGCGCTATTATCACAAGCACAACTTCAATGGTGCCTGTACTAGATTCATAATATAACTTTGCTTCTAGTATAAATGTTGGTTATTTATTATCGGTTCTATATTCTGTGACAAAATTTTACCATACAAAGTGAGTAACGCTGCGTATTTGGGGTTGTGCGTGACTTATAGACGGGGTTTGGACTGATGACCGGATTTACTGCACACTTACACAACTTGTTAGTACACTTCACAAAGCCGCTACGTGATACACTGTCTTCTCTTCTCCATCATCTTCGACTGCCGTCTCAGGAGACTTCCTCAGTTCTTCTCAGCTGCCTGAGACCCTCGTTATATAGACTCGGGGCAGCTCCACAGAAAACGCCGTTTCCTAATAAATGCTCTATCGTTAGAATGATAATTATATCGCTATACTCGTATATAGTTCTACTGTTGCTTTCGTGTTCATTTCCGCAGGAACCTGTTTACCGAGCCGTTGCCTAGCAATGTCACACTACTTTACTCATATAGTTCAGGAGGGAAGGGTTTAACCCTTAATCAACGGCAGCTCGGATTCGAGCCTAGGTCGGGTAATACGCTACCAATTATAATTTCACTTGCTGCTCCGCATTCATCATCTGTCATCCGGAGCTGGCATAATAGGCCAATTTGTGGCCTACGTTCCAAGTGGACTCAGTTTCAACCCACCCCTTAGAACCTAAATCACGTTATGATACGTCACAAATTGCATGGCTGTGTAGAAACCAGACCGTAGTACTCGTATTATGGTAAATAGTAGTTCTAATGGCATTCTTTGCAGGTTTAAGTTTTCTTGCTGTTGGCTTATTAAGTTTTATTAACTGCTTGTCATATACAAGGAACAATCTGTTTTTGTCTTTACGTGAAGCAGATGAAGTTCGGATTTGCCCGTCACGATTTAGTGAAAGTCCCCCATACTGGTTCAAAAAATGTCCTCAACTGTTAAGAGATGATTCTAGGAGAGAGACAGACAGACAGATGTACAGACACTATCTTCACAAAAGGCAACTTTTTTTCTTTACATTTCAGATTCTCCTTACATAATTCCAAATATTACTAAAATGGTAACATTGCTTCTATGTTCACAGTTTTTTTAGTTCCGTGGGGTGGGGTCAGACCGAGTCTTTTTGGTACGTCGGCCACTAATTAGACTTCTGTGCCAGCCCCGGATAATAGATGAGTATGGAGTATTTGGTGGAATGAGAATTGGCAGGGGAAACCGAAGTACTCGAAGGAAACCTGCCCCAGTGCCACTTTGTCCACCAAAAATCCCACATGACTTGACCTGGGATCGAACTCGGGTCAGCGCGGTGCGGAGCCGACAACCAACTGCCTGAGCTATGGCACCGAATTCTATGCTCATAAAGATGAATATTGATTCTGTTGGATTTGAGGTTCTCAGATCGTGAAGGGAACAGTTTTCTGGGTTTTAATGTAGAAAAGCTCGGAGAGAGCCCGACATTTCTGAGGATTGCATTGCCTTCATCTTCATTCTTTCTTGGTTTACTGTTCAACCTTGAAGATGGAGACGATATGTTACTCCGAAACATCGGGTCTCCCTGAGCTATACGATGTTATAACACAAAAGATTTTACTCCTCAACATTGTCACCGATGTTCTTTGTTATAACGTGAGATATTGCCACTTGTTAGTGTCTAGGTAAGGGGTTGACTTTGCCCGACAGTGGCTTCCTTTGTGCCACTATTCCAGCTTTCAGCCGTGATGTCACAATATGAATTACTATATATTGTGACATGTTGAGCTATGGATGACGCCCCTCCCCCCCACCGCCTGCCGTGATGCGCCGAGCGAAGCCGAAGTGAGCCGAAGTTAGCCGAGTCCTAGCATCCTGGTCGCTAGGCAACGCGAGTCAACAGCGATGACGTCACCAAGTGTACCGCGGGTTGCTAGGGCAGCACGGGTAAACAGGATTGCGAGAGACGACGGTGGTAACAGCGGTTACTACCGCTAGCGTTACTAGCAACACAGCGCCAGGCAACAAGGGTGCTTATTACGTGGCCGTTTTCTGTATTGTCCGATCGAGGCTACATGAGGAGCAGCGAAGGCTATTCAGAGTTAGTCCTGGAGCTACCTACGAGAGAGTCCTCGAGCTACAGTTAGTTCCGAGTTAGCCAGCAACCAACCAGTTGTATTGTGGCATTTTGAGTGTACTATTTGCGTACTGCAGATAGCAGTAACCGTAAATCTGTAATTTGGGTGATTGTAAGTGCGAATGTGAAATAAGATTCGCTACATCAAATACGGCGTGAAGTTATTTGTCGCGTTATACGCCCGATACGTGACAACTGGTGTCAGAAGTGGGATTTGGACTTACACACGTGACCAACGAGCTTCGAACTCAAGACACGTGACAATTTGGTGTCAGAATTTTTACGAACTTAAACACGCCTGACAAATAATTGGATTATTGTGCATCAAGTATCTTACTGTTACAAAATGGAGAAACAAGATATGCAACAAATAATCGACATGCTGGCAAGAATGGACGCCGACATGAGGGCATACCAAGCGAAAGCAGACGCCGACTCGAAGGCCTGGCGAGAAGAGGTGGCTGCAGAGGGAGAAGCCTTCCAAGCAGAGACGAAAGCCATCGAAGCCAGGGCGGCCGCCATGCGAGCCAAGAGGTTGAAAACCAATATGAATGCCTGGCAGGAAGAGACGACAGCCTGCCAAGATGCAATGGAGACAAATCCAAGCGAAAAACGGGATGTAGTGGGCACGGCACAAGAAGAGGAGGTCCCCATAGTGATACCGGTCGGAGAGACGATGGCCTGCCAAGAAATGGAGGCTCGTCCAGAAGATGAAAAGCCGGCTTCAGTGCACAGGAAACCTGAGGCGGCAGAACTACTAGAGGTACCCGTACAAGACGCCGAAGTAATGCCGGTCAGAGAACCGAAGAAGAAAAGGC